CTTGTACAAGAATCGTCAAAAGCCGAGTACCAGGAAAAAAAAAAAAAAAAAAAAAAAACATGCCACGTACTAAATTCCATGACATTGTGCGTGTTGTGCGCTGGTGAGTGGGTCGGCACATGATGCGAATCGTCGTACACGAAGACAAGCTAGGCGTGGGTTATCCATTTAACTATAGCTATTTGTAGTACAGCAATTGTAAAGTTGCCTAGCCAACTAGATTTCCCAATTAGATTGCATATAGTTGTTCATTTGCTGTGATGATAGTGTGTGGTTGAGGGTGGAGGAAGATTATGACTCCTTTGGGTCTCTGATGAAATCACATGAACCCCAAATTTTGCCAACATATATGGTATCTGGTGAATACTTGTTGGTTTGATTTTGAAACATCAGAGGAATAAATACTCCAAAGATCATTCATTAAAAGTGATAATGGGCTGGGCGCGGTGGCTCACGCCTGTAATCCTAGCTACTCTGGGAGGTCCAGGCAGGAGGATCGCTCAAAGTCAGGAGTTCGAAACCAGCCTGAGCAAGAGCGAGACCCGCCTCTACTAAAAATAGAAAGAAATTAATTGATCAAATAAAAATATATAGAAAATATAGACGGGCATGGTGGCGCATGCCTGTAGTCCCAGCTACCTGGGAGGCTGAGGCAGGAGGATCGCTTGACCCAAGAGTTTGAGGTTGCTGTGAGCTAGGCTGATGCCACGGCACTCTAGTCCGGGCAACAGAGTGAGACTCTGACTCAAAAAAAACAAAAAGTGATAATGGAAAAGTGGATGAATAAAACTGAGAGTCTTCCATCCTGAAGACATTCTGAAACTTTTTTTTTTTGCCCCATTTCTTCTCCAAAATTTTTTGTTAGCAATTCAGGTTCAATACAGAGTTCTCAGGAATTGCATTCACATAAAGAAGGTATCTAGGTGTATTTTCTCTTTGGTGATCGTACATATTTTTTCTACTCCTAAACTAGTTAGCCTCGCTTTTAAAAAAGCTATTATTGAGATATACATAATAAAATTATAATAAGTATACAGCTCATTGAAATTTCAGAAATTGAACCCACAAGTGCAAGTCACACTCGAATCATGCCTTGTTGCTTCATTCTATTGGTTAACTATCCCCAACCTTTGGCAACTGCTATTTTGAATCCTAATAGGTAGCTTACTTTGGTCTGTTTTTACATATTATAAATGTGGGATCGTACAGCATGCACTCTTGTGTGTGTGGCTTCCTTGCTCTCAACTTTCGAGATTCATCCATTGTTGTTCTGTAGGGGTAGACTGTTCATTCTCACTGTGGGTATTTCACCATGTGAACGTACCACCACGAATTACGCTTCTTTTGATGGGCATTTGAGTGGTTTCCAAGCTTGAGCTGTTACAAAGTGTTGCCGTGAACGAACATTCTAGAACTTCCTCTGGTGGATAGACGCGTTTATTTCTGGAGGCCATTTTGCGTAAAAGTGAAATGTTCTGATCGAAAAAACGAGCGATAGGGTATAAAAATAAGGGTCGGAGATATAGGTAGGAGACGGCGCGGGTGTTAGGTACGGTAGTATATAGTACTATATATATAATATTCAACCTTAGCAGGGACAATCAGCTTTCCAAAGCACATGTACTCATGTGAATCCTACTGCCAGTACATGAGGGTTCCAGTTGCTCCATATTCTCACCATCACTTGTTTCTTTCAGGCATTATAGCCATTCCAAGTGGATTAATCCTATCTTTTTAAGCATAAGTTAGTGCTACTTTTTTTCCCATCCAATAAGGTACACGAAGCCCATCAACAAATTGGCCTATTTTCCTCTGAAACTCATCTGCAGCAGAAGATTCTTAAATAAAGTATCTGGGAAAAGAAAAAAATGTAGAAGTTGAGATATGGGGCCTTTCGTTGTGACCCAGCCACCAATGAGCTGCTACCTTGTCACCTCAAATGCACCATTTATGTCATTAGGCCTGAGATTTTTCACCTGTGAAATGAAGGTATAGGATCCAACTAGTATATTTTCCTTCTCTGAGGATCTTCCCAAAGATGCTAAAATTCATTTCTTTTCTTCTATCCCTGGAAGGCTGAATCTGCTGGAATAAAGCATGCACTTGAAAAAATAAACAGTATGGGGTTGTGAGATATTTGACACAATTAGTTTGGTGGCTGTTTTCAGATGGACTCCGGTAGTACCAAGGCCTTTCCATGAAATAGCAGAATTTATAAATTTGATGAAACAAATTCTGCTTCAGACATTTTGTTTTAAGAATAAGTCATGCTAAATCCAGGTTTTCTTTCTTTCTTTGTTTTGAGGTCTTAAAGTTATCCTAATATCACAACCTCTTTAAAGAATATATATACCAAAATGAATTCAAGTTTTCAGTACTTAATTAAAGTAAATGCTATTCTCTATATATGAAATCCTGACATTTATTATTAGCTGTGAATCACATTAAGAGATTAGCGACCGGGTGCGGTGGCTCACACCTGTAATCCTAGCACTCTGGGAGGCCGAGGTGGGAGGATTGCTCAAGGTCAGGAGTTCGAAACCAGCCTGAGCAAGACCCCGTCTCTACTATAAAAAATAGAAAGAAATTAATTGGCCAACTAAAAATATATAGAAAAAATGAGCCGGGCATGGTGGCGCATGCCTGTAGTCCCAGCTACTCGGGAGGCTGAGGCAGGAGGATTGCTTGAGCCCAGGAGTTAGAGGCTGCTGTGAGCTAGGCTGACGCCATGGCACTCTAGCCTGGGCAACAAGCGAGACTCTGTCTCAAAAAAAAAAAAAAAAAAAAAGAACATACACTTTTTTTAAAAAAAAAAAAAAAAAAAAAAAGAACATACACTCTTTTTTTAATAAAAATTAAAATAAAATAATAGAAAGCAGAGATATCTAACACACACTATGGTGTGACGAGTAGGATTCAATAACTTTGAGCTGAGTTCTTAGAAGTGAGAATAAAATATAAAATAAAATAATAAAAAATAAAACAAAACAGAAAGCAGAGGTATCTAACACACACTATGGCGTGACGAGTAGGATTCAAGAACTTTGCGTTGAGTTCTTAGAAGTGACAGGTGCAAATGGCACCAGCGGGGAGGCAGAACTGTCACCCGCGGGCTGTGAGCTAGCTGAGGAATACAAAGTTGTTCCAAATAACAAACTTCCAACAAACGGTTCACGCCTCCAGCCAACTCTTGGGCTGTTTGTTCTTCCAGCTAAACCCATTTTTCTCGCTACTCACATTTTCACCAGGAGGCTTCGAACGAAGAAGGAAACAACGAAAACTCAGATGAGAACGAGGAGGAAGAGTCTGAGGCCGACAACACCACGCTTTCCGCTGTGACCCCCGACTATGGGGACGTCACCCCAGGAACAGGGTTCGCAGCGATCCAGCTGCTCAAGAAGGTAATGATGAGATTATTCCTCCAAAACGCAGCTATGGCCATGCCCACTCTATGGCAGGTCGAATTTGTTTTCCCTTCTTTACTGAAGTCTGAGGTTATCCCAACGCTGTATTTATATATTTATGATGTCTCTTCATTCACTGATTGAAAAAAATGAGAGTAAATACAATTTCACTATCTACAAATAAGAAGAGGCTCTTCTCATGTTATTGCACTGACTTTTTACAAATGACTCAGGGGTCCCGGAGCAATCCTCCCGCCTCGGCTCCCCAGAGTGCTAGGATTACAGGTGTGAGCCACCTCCCCCGGCCAGTCCTCAAACTTTAAACAGGGGGCCAGCTCACTGTCCCTCAGACCGTTGGAGAGTGCGCACTGCGGGCGGGACGAGCCGGCTGCTAGCAGGACAGGCAGGCGTGGCAAAAAGACCCAGAGGCACG